CCTGTGGTCTCCATACAGACCAATTGGTCTATAATGAAGACCTGTGGTCTCCATATAGACCAATTGGTCTATAATGAAGACCTGTGGTCTCCATATAGACCAATTGGTCTATAATGAAGACCTGTGGTCTCCATATAGACCAATTGGTCTATAATGAAGACCTGTGGTCTCCATATAGACCAATTGGTCTATAATGAAGACCTGTGGTCTCCATATAGACCAATTGGTCTATAATGAAGACCTGTGGTCTCCATATAGACCAATTGGTCTATAATGAAGACCTGTGGTCTCCATATAGACCAATTGGTCTATAATGAAGACCTGTGGTCTCCATATAGACCAATTGGTCTATAATGAAGACCTGTGGTCTCCATATAGACCAATTGGTCTATAATGAAGACCTGTGGTCTCCATATAGACCAATTGGTCTATAATGAAGACCTGTGGTCTCCATATAGACCAATTGGTCTATAATGAAGACCTGTGGTCTCCATATAGACCAATTGGTCTATAATGAAGACCTGTGGTCTCCATATAGACCAATTGGTCTATAATGAAGACCTGTGGTCTCCATATAGACCAATTGGTCTATAATGAAGACCTGTGGTCTCCATATAGACCAATTGGTCTATAATGAAGACCTGTGGTCTCCATATAGACCAATTGGTCTATAATGAAGACCTGTGGTCTCCATATAGACCAATTGGTCTATAATGAAGACCTGTGGTCTCCATATAGACCAATTGGTCTATAATGAAGACCTGTGGTCTATAATGAAGTCCTGTGGTCTCCATATAGACCAATTGGTCTATAATGAAGACCTGTGGTCTCCATATAGACCAATTGGTCTATAATGAAGACCTGTGGTCTCCATATAGACCAATTGGTCTATAATGAAGACCTGTGGTCTCCACATAGACCAATTGGTCTATATACAGACCAATTGGTCTATACTGAAGACCTGTGGTCTCCATATAGACCAATTGGTCTATAATGAAGACCTGTGGTCTCCATATAGACCAATTGGTCTATAATGAAGACCTGTGGTCTCGATATAGACTTAGTGGTCTACAATGAAGACCTGTGGTCTCTATACAAATCAATTGGTCTATAATGAAGACCTGCGGCCTCCAAACAGACCAATTCGTCTACTATGGTGACATGTGGTATCCATACAGACCAATTGGTCTATAATGAAGACCTGTGGTCCCCATACAGACTAATTGGTCTATAATGAAGACCTGTGGTCTTCACATACAATTTTCTAGAATAAAGACCTAAGGTTTCTATACAGACCAGAGTGTCTCCCCTCTGTTCTCTAGTAGGAGTCCTACCGATTTTTTATTTTATTTAAAAAAATTGTTTACAGATCGATGTTCGAGATTATCAGCAGCTATTGGATTTACAGGAGAAGATTACCGCAGATTTGGGTGATGTCACTATTCTGGTCAACAATGCCGGTATTTTAACCCTGTCCTCTGTGGAAAACCCTCCTGCCCATGAAGTTCAACGTATGATAAATGTCAATTTAACGGCTCCGATTTATGTAAGATTTCCTTCAACGATAAAAAAAACATGAATTTTTAATCAATCCCCTTTTATCTCCAGACAACCCAAATATTTCTGCCGAAAATGAAACAACTTAATCGTGGCTATATTGTTAATATATCTTCAATATTGTCCATGTATCCTCATTATTTTTTCAATGTTTATGGAGCTACAAAGGCTGCCTTGCGTTATATTACCTCATGTTTACGCATCGACTTATTGGAATCTGGGAGCGATGTTAGAGCCATTACCATTTGTCCATCATTTCTTACCACAAATAAACGGATTCATGAGCTGCTCAAAGTTTTTCGATTACATCGACTGTTATGCGATATAGACGGTAGTATTGTGGCCCAGTATATTATCGAGGCAATGCTGCGAGGTGAGGAGGAGTTGACAGTGCCTCGGGTATTCATACTGTGTTATCGTTTATTGGCGTAAGTTATTCTAATATGCATATTTTTTTAATAATCGTATTTTGCAGTTAGTAATGACCTATGGACTGCAATTGATTAAGTCAGTGACATATACATATTATTATATATTTTTTTTTAATTTTTTTACAGTACCCTACCAATTTCAATGATAGAGATGATACTTGCCACAATAGGCAAATTTGCTGGAGTCAAAAATAATCAAAAAAGTGCTTTGCCTCTTTTGGAAGCTGATGACATTAAAACGTATTTTTGAGTAAAACTAGCACGGAGATTGAAAATTATAATTGAAACTAGATGAACACATACGTCAAGACAAACGTAACTATTTTGATACAAAAAAAAAAAAAATAAATGGGAAATATTTTATACAAAATACCAAAATATCGAATTATGAGGTATTTTAATGGGGGCTACGCTGAAACTTGAGCCAACATTCATGATTTTTGGTTAGGAAAATTTCTACCCAATTAAAATCCAAAATATAACCAGTAAGGAAAGTAGTAAAGTCGGACTGAGCCGATTATATACCCTTCACATCTTTTTCACATCATTCAGTACCCTTTGCCGAATTTCGTGCAAATCGAAAGATATATAGGGACTTTGGTGCCCCATTTACCTTAAATCGGCCGAAAATATATATGGGAGCTATATCTAAATCTGACCCGATTTTCTCAAAACTTGCCACACGTCATTCCAAACTCAATTCAGCACACTATGCTAAACTTCGTGAATATCGTAATATATATAGAGACTTTGGTGCACTATTTACATAAAATCGGACGAAAATATATATGGGAACTACAACTCTATCTGACCCGATTTTTTTGAAAATTAGCACACATCATTATTGTTCTTATTCAGTGCCCTAAGCAAAATTTTGTGGAAATCGAAGGAAATGTAGGCGCTTTCGTACACTATTTACATAAAATCGGGCGAAACTATATATGGGAGCTATATCTAAATCTGAACCGATTTATACGAAACTCAGCACATATCATTCTAAACTTAATTGAGTGCGCTATGCCAAATTTCGTGCAAATAGAAAGATATATTGGCACTTCGGTACACAATTTACCTTTAATCGGACGAAAATATATATGGGAGCTATATCTAAATCTGAACCGATTTTTTTCCAATTTCAATAAGGTTTGTCCTTGGGCCTAATCATAAATGTGACCTGTACATTGCTCACAAAAATACATGGACGGACGGGCATGCGTAAATCGACTTAGAAAGTGATTCTATGCATATTATCAATAGGAACCATGGGTGTATCGATATACACCCATTCCTTTTGCCTGTTACAAACATATGCACAAAGACATAATACCCTGTACCACAGTGTGGTGAAGGGTATAAAAATACAGCCAATTAGTTTGAAAATCGTTACCGAACTCCTTCATTTAACAAAATATGGGAGTCAGCATTATGTAGTGGCTTTTCCAAATCTGATATATTCCATTTTCAATTCCACACATCCTAGGAATAGTAGAATTTTCTGTGAAAATTTGCAATGCTCTAATGCGATATATTGAAAATATATTTCAAGAATTTTTTCACCCTTTAAATGTCAAAACTACAACTATTGCGGGTTGAAAATTCGGCTAGGAATTTCGAAATGCCCAAAAAAGCTGGAACTATCAGGTGGCCTAGCAATACAGTTAGTGTTGTCTAGGTGTGAAATATATATCTATATAATACTGTGATAGAGAGTATTATCTTTTAATGTATTTGTAAGTTTAGAAGGACCTCAAAGTGCCATCTGCCATCATTAGACTTAGAGAGGACCCTTTCAGGTCTAACATCCCTGGTTCAACTCAATAAGTCTTTTGTCTCTGGTAGGCCTCAATGAATCGTTTGCCCTGTCAATAGAAGACTTCATGAGGTCTTCTGTCCACAGAAAATGCCCTATGCCTGTTCAAGAAAATGCTGTCCACAGAAAATGCCTTATGCCTATAGAGACCTATCTATGCAAAACCTCAAGAGATCTCCTGTCTAAAGAAAACCTCAAAAGATATTTTATCTCTGGCAGACCTCAAGATATATTGAAGCTATAGAAGACCTCAAGAGGTCTTTTGTCTATAAAAAACTTCAAGAGGTGTTATGTCTATAGAATACCTCAAGAGGCCTTCTGTCTATAGATGTCCTCAAGATGTCTTCTGTCTTAAGAAGACCTCAATATGTCGTCTTTCTATAGAAGTATGTCTTCTGTCTTTAGAAGACTTCAAGATATCATCTGTCCACAGGAGACCTAAAGAGATCCTCTGTCTATAGACGACCTGAAGAGATCTTCTGTCTACCGTAGACCTCAAGAGGCCTTCTGCCTATAGAATACCTCAAGTAGTCTTCTATCCATAGAAGACATCATGTGGTCTTCTGTCCATTGAAGGCCCCAAGAGGTCCTTTGTCTACAAAAGACCTCAAGAGGTGTTGTGTTTTTAGAAGACGTCAAGAGGTGATCTGTCTTTAGAAGTCCTCAAGAGGTCGTCTGTCTTTAGAATACCTCAAGAGGTTTTTTTGTCTATAGAAGACCTTGAAATGTCTAATAATTGTTTTTATAAAAACAACAAACTGGGATTCAGCTTGACTATTTTGCAAAAACAAAAATACAAAACCCGCCAACACTACCCTGTACCACACTGTGATACAGGGTATTATGTCTTTATGCATATATTTGTAACAGGCAAAAGTAATCGAGATATACCCATAGTTCATTTTGAGAATATGCATACAACCACTTTCTGGGTGGATTTACGCAAGTCCGTCTGTCCGTCCATGTATTTTTGTGAACAAAGTACAGGTCACATTTATGATCCGATTTGGATGAAATTTGGCATAGGTCACTTATTTGGCCCGAGGACGAACCCTATCGAAATTGGTTCAGATTTAGATATAGCTCCCATATATAGTTTCGTCCGATTTTATGTAAATGATGCACCAAACTCCCAATATTTGTCCGATTGAGACAACATTTTGCACAGAGTACTGAATTAGGTCCAGGCTAATGTCTGCGAAGTTTTGTTAAAATCCGTTCAGATTTAGATATAGCTCCCATATATGGTTTCGACCTATTTTTTGTGAATGATACACCAAACTTCAATATTTGTCCGATTGGGACAAAATTTTGCACAGAGTACATAATAACGTCCAGATTGATGTATGTGAAGTTTTTTTGGAATCGGTTCAAATTTGGATACAGCTCCCATATATAGTTTCGTCCGATTTTTTGTGTGAATGATATCTGGCCGATTGAGCAAAATTTTGCATACCGAATGCAATATTGGATATTGTAGATATTTACATCTGTTGTATGTGCCCAAAGTGGTGTAGGGCAGCAACGTACACAGGATTTCATTTTGGGGGGGCACGGTAGTACAAAATGAAAAAATTCGCTGTTGCAAACATAAACTTACTGTGAAAAAATTTCATTTCATGACTTTTGAGCTTTCCTTACTGGTTTATACATTAATTATTTCTCTCTTTTTTGTAATAACTCTCCCATTGAAACATGAAGGTGTTGAAATATATCTTTAACTTTTGTTTTTTGCCTAACGCTTATCCTTTACCCACTGTGGAAGTCATGTCACGTATTTTATTAAACATGTCTGCTGTCATGTTAGATGTTGTCGTAAGTGATGACGATGACCAGCAGACGGGCTGTTGCTTTTCCTGCATAAAGTGAAGTGACGCTATTGATGACTAAAATTATGTTTTCAATCATATTCAGTAATAACAACAATGGCGGGACGCCAGTGTACATAAGTATTCTGAAACTGCACTATGGGGACACATGGTCAGAGAAGTTAGATGAAGAAGAAATGGATTTTGATACTACTAAATACATGCGTATCGATTTTTTAAGAAAATTAAAAAAACACGCTTGTCGATTCGTTTAAAAAATAGATTTGAAACTTTTTTAAAAACCCTCAGTTTTGATATGTTGTCCTTAAAAATTTATTAAAATATAAACCACGCTTGCCGACTTTGAAAACATATTTTAAGAAATCCTCACTTATCATTCAGAATATATAGTAAAAATGTTCGAAACGGACGAACTTTTTATAACCACCACGTGGTATCGTTAAAAATTCCTTAAATCGGTCGTTGCATTTATATTAGGACTATGTTATTGCAGTATGTGGTAGTAGGTTGTTCGCGCTCGGAAAAAGATAAGATTCCAAATTGCAGATACCAATGTTGCAAACTAGAACAGAAACTTCAACATACGGAAAATTAAACAGGATATTTATATGTGGGCTATTTGAAGAAAAAAACCAGTAAGGAAAGTAGCAAAGTCGGTCGGGGCCGACTATAGATACCCTTCACCACTTTGAGTATATTCAACAGATGAATCCTAACAGACGTCGCATTTTTAAAGGACCAGTAAAATGAACATAAACACGTCATTCTGCAACCGATACTAAATTGTTCATTTGGGACTTTTGGTCATATACAGGGACTTTTGTGCACAATTTACCTTAAATCGGACGAAAATATATATGAGATCTATATCTAAATCTGAACCGATTTTCAGGAAACTTAACACACATCATTCTATACCTAATTTGTTAAATCGACTCAAAAAGTGATTCTATGCATATTCCCAAAAGGAACCATGTGTCTATCTCGTTTCCTTTTGCCAGTTACAAACATATGCACAAAGACATAATACCCTGTACCACAGTGTGGTGAAGGGTATATAAAAAGCTAATCTGTATTGAAAAATGTCGGAATAAGTTCAGCAGGAACCCGATATGCAATCTTATAGCACTTCGATGAGAAAATTTGGTTAAAACTAAATATGCCGTAAATTTGCCGTGGACCTTTATGTGGGGGCTATATCAAAACATGGACATATATAAAAAATTTTCGCAAAATAGTTTTGTCCTTTTATACCCCGGACCTCAGTTCATATTTTGATATAGCTCCCATATATAGTTTCGTCCGACTTAAGGTAAATAGTACACGAATGTACCTATACATCTTTCGATTTGCACGAAATTTGGCATCCCGTACTGAAGTAAGTCTAGAACGATGTGTGTTAAATTTGG